CGCCTATCTAGGGGACATACGCGCCCCATGCATGGGCGTGTATGTCACGCGGTACGCGGCTGCGAGTGCAGCCGCCTATGTTGGCCAAGAAAGGCGGCTACACGTGTGGGCGCGAGTACCGCTATACGCGTCTGCACGTGTGGCCGCGTATCTTGGCTAAGATACGCGCGGGCACAGAATGACACGTATCAGGCCCCGCCGAGCTCGATGGGCGGCAGCGCGTGAGGGCGGCTATTCTCCCCCGAGGCAGGCAAGGATACGCAGTCCCTCGTGTCGCGCGTGTAAGTCCCGGTTGCCGTGCGCGCCAGCGCGTGTGGCCGCGTACCTTAGCTAAGATACGCGCGCACGGGCGTGGGTGGGTAAAAACGGGTCACTTTGCGGGGTTTGCCGGGTGGTGGTGTTGGGTGGGAGTTCGGACAACGAAAAAAAAAATTGCGCGCCTTGCTGCCGCTGCGCATCGCCCGTGTGCTGCCGCCCGCTGCCAGGTGACAGCTCAGCCTGCAGCAGCGGCAGCATGCCGGCTAGCGGGGCACTTGCGAAGCGCTCCTGCATGCGCTCCACCATTCTCTTGCCACACCGCCTCGAGGAGGACGCATTCGGCGGAGGCGGCGTCTGCCGCGCCGCTGGAGGCGCGCGTGCACTGCGAAGCGGCGGTCAGCTCCTCGTTCGACGCAACGAGCGCTTGCCACTGCGAAGGCATCGGCGAGCTGTTCGAGCTGTGCGGCGCTCGCGAGCTCATGGCTGCGGCCGTGCAGGGAGCCGGCGGTCGAAAGGGCGCCGAAAAGGTAGCCATAGCGCACAGAGGCCAGCCAGACGCCCTTGGTTCGTAGCATGTCTAGTAGGCCTGCCACGCACGCAGAGTCGACGTCGCTCGGAATCGGGTGGCCCAGAAGGCGGACGAGGAGGAGCTGCAGGTCCGCGATGGCATAAAGGTACTTGTTGCCGTGGATGGTGAAGGCGTCGCAGTCGCCGTTGTGCGTGATGAAGCTCTCGACGCTGCGGCGCTCGCAAACAAAGCGGTATGCTGTGTTTGTTGCGAGCCTCCACGCCATCTGCTTTGATCGCGGTAGCCACTGATGCGGGTGGCAGCCAGCGATGTTGCAGACGGAAGACGTTGCGAAGCGGGTGTGGCCCTGAAACAGACCGCAGGTCATGTCGGCGTAGCACAGCGAAAATCTTTTGAACAGCACGTCCTCGAGGTCACGACTCTGCAGCGCAAGCCCACGCCGGAGCGATCGTACGTCGCTATCCCAGCCGACTGCGCCCCGCGTATCATGGTGATGCGTAGCATCTTGCGCAGCAGGCGAAGCGTCGCGCGGCGATGCGCGGGGAGGAGGAGCAGGAGGCCAAAGTTTCCGCACATGGAGTTGAGGGGAGGCCGCGGGGGGTAGG